GCGCAGTCTCTTGGTCATCCCCTGCACGGTCTGCGCAGTCTCTTGGTCATCCCCTGCACGGTCCCCTGCGCAGTCTCTTGGTCATCCCCTGCACGGTCTGCGCAGTCTCTTGGTCATCCCCTGCACGGTCACGGTCTGCGCAGTCTCTCTTGGTCATCCCCTGCACGGTCTGCGCAGTCTCTTGGTCATCCCCTGCACGGTCTGTCGCAGTCTCTGGTCATCCCCTGCACGGTCTGCGCAGTCTCTGCTGGTCATCCCCTGCACGGTCTCCCTGCACGCAGTCTCTTGGTCATCCCCTGCACGGTCTGCGCAGTCTCTCTGGTCATCCCCTGCACGGTCTGCGCAGTCTCTTGGTCATCCCCTGCTGCTGTCTGCGCAGTCTCTCTGGTCATCCCCTGCACGGTCTGCGCAGTCTCTTGGTCATCCCCTGCACGGTCTGCGCAGTCTCTTGGTCATCCCCTGCACGGTCTGCGCAGTCTCTTGGTCATCCCCTGCACGGTCTGCGCAGTCTCTTGGTCATCCCCTGCACGGTCTGCGCGCAGTCTCTCTGGTCATCCCCTGCACGGTCTGCGCAGTCTGCATCCCCTGCAGTCTCTCTCTGGTCATCCCCTGCACGGTCTGCGCAGTCTCTTGGTCATCCCCTGCACGGTCTGCGCAGTCTCTCTGGTCATCCCCCCCTGCACGGTCTGCGCAGTCTCTTGGTCATCCCCTGCACGGTCTCTGCGCAGTCTCTCTGGTCATCCCCTGCACGGTCTGCGCAGTCTCTTGGTCATCCCCTGCACGGTCTGCGCAGTCTCTTGGTCATCCCCTGCACGGTCTGCGCAGTCTCTCTGGTCATCCCCTGCACGGTCCTGCGCAGTCTCTCTGGTCATCCCCGCACGGTCTGCGCAGTCTCTTGGTCATCCCCTGCACGGTCTGCGCAGTCTCTCTGGTCATCCCCTGCACGGTCTGCGCAGTCTCTTGGTCATCCCCTGCACGGTCTGCGGTCTGCGCAGTCTCTCTGGTCATCCCCTGCACGGTCTGCGCAGTCTCTTGGTCATCCCCTGCACGGTCTGCGCAGTCTCTCTGGTCATCCCCTGCACGCACGGTCTGCGCAGTCTCTCTGGTCATCCCCCTGCACGGTCTGCGCAGTCTCTCTGGTCATCCCCTGCACGGTCTGCGCAGTCTCTCTGGTCATCCCCTGCACGGTCTGCGCAGTCTCTCTGGTCATCCCCTGCACGGTCTGCGCAGTCTCTCTGGTCATCCCCCTGCACGGTCTGCGCAGTCTCTCTGGTCATCCCCTGCACGGTCTGCGCAGTCTCTCTGGTCATCCCCTGCACGGTCTGCGCAGTCTCTCTGGTCATCCCCTGCACGGTCTGCGCAGTCTCTCTGGTCATCCCCTGCACGGTCTGGGCAGTCTCTCTGGTCATCCCCTGCACGGTCTGCGCAGTCTCTCTGGTCATCCCCTGCACGGTCTGCGCAGTCTCTCTGGTCATCCCCTGCACGGTCTGCGCAGTCTCTCTGGTCATCCCCTGCACGGTCTGCGCAGTCTCTCTGGTCATCCCCTGCACGGTCTGCGCAGTCTCTCTGGTCATCCCCTGCACGGTCTCGGTCTCTCTGGTCATCCCAGTCTCTCTCTGGTCATCCCCTGCACGGTCTCGGCAGTCTCTCTGGTCATCCCCTGCACGGTCTCGGCAGTCCTTGGTTCAGAATATTTTTTTTTCTTTTTTTTTTTTTTTTCCCTCTAAAACTTAGGCGCGTCTTATGGAGCAAAAAATACGGTAGATTGGCTGTCAGTACTTCAGGATTGATCTATTTTCAGATATATCCCATAGTTTGTGAACTCTATAACTTTCCTACAGACTAAATAATAAATACTGATTTGAGTTATTTTCACCAAAGAAATGTAGCAGAATACATCTTGGCCTAAATTTATGAAGAACAATTCTTTATTTGCAAACTTTTATAACAGAAACCAAGAAAAACGTGTTGTGGTGTTTTTTTTTTTTTTTTTTTTTTTTTTTTGAGCTTTTTTTTTGTTTTAGAAAAAAAATAAAAACCCCAGTGGTGATTAAAAACCAGCAAAAGAAAGCTCTAGTTGTGTGACTAAAATTATAAAATTTGTCTGGGTCCAGTGTTGCATGACCGTGCAATTGTCATTCAAAGTGTGAGAGCGCTGAAACCTGAAAATTGGCCTGGGTAAGAAGGGGGTAAAAGAGCCTGGTGTTGAAATGGTTAATAGCAAAAAGTCAATTATATATATATATTTTATTTTCCAAAATTTTTTTTTTGTTTTATAGTGCAATAAAAAAAAAACCGCACAGGCAATCAAATACCACCGAAAGAAAGCTCTATTTGTTGGGGGGAAAAAAGGACATAAATTTAATTTGGGTGCAGCGTTGCATGGCCGCGCAATTGTTAAAGTAATGCAGCAATGTATTGCAAAAAATGGCCTAGTCAGGAAGGGGGGTAAATCCTTGGAGGGCAAGTGGTTAACAACAACTTTAACAATGTAACCATGTGATTGCATAGCGATCACATGATCTCCCAGTCACTCAATGTGGCCGGAACCATAAATCTGCTGTGTCCACACGCTCTGCACGCCCCAGTGGGCGTGCTTGTGCCAGGCAACGTATTGTTACTTTACAGAGCCTGGCTGTGCCACTCGTTTACAGTGAAAGTACTGTGGGTGGAAAGTGGTTAAAATTGTACACCTTTTGCTTAAATGGTTGCCAGTTTCTTATGCTAGCTATACACAACTGGATTTCTTGATCGTTGATTCTTCCATCCACATGAACAGTGGAATCTGCACTGCCGGCTGTTATCTGATGCATTGATTGTTAGGCCAGTAAATTTCCAATCGGCTCAGTCTATTTTGAGATCGATTTATGTCAAGCTGCATGATGCTTATAGAGACAACTCACGGTTTTTTGTTTTTCCAATGGAGCCGAAATCAGCCATAATGTGAGCTATCTATAGCTAGCTTTAAGCCCTTGTTCAAACCTGTGCAATTTCACGCTTGTTAGATTACCCTTGTTTTCTATAGAGTCCATTTACACATCTGCTTTTCTCTTCTGTGTGTCTTCGAAAAAACTTCAGGTGCTTTTTTTGGTGCAACATTCTTGGCTCCATAGACTTCAGTGGGAATACATGAAAGTGCATTAAAAAAACTTGAAAATTGTATGAAAATACAAAGGCACCAGTGTGAATCTAGCAAAGAGAAATGTATTGCCATCTCATTTAGTGTAATTACTGAACTGTATGGCAACATGAGCACTTCTTGCATGACAACTTCACTTCTAATACCGTTGTGGATATTGCAATCTAGTTGAAACCGATATCAACTTTACAGTTGTTGCTGGAATCAGTTGACCATTTCAAATATCGCATCTTAACAAAATGTCTTTCCACACTCTGCTTGCCTCATCCCACCCCCTAGCTTTCTTTGGAATAAGGTGGACATATTTGGGGTCTCTTTTGACTGCAGCTTTTTAAACAGATTGGCTGTGTTGTGTTGAATTTATGCAGTGTATGGGATTTGTTTCTGAATTGCACTGCAACCATTCTCTACATTAAAGGATAAGTTCACCTTTTGGAAAAAAAAAAAATTAATAATAAATGCACATTTTTTTTTTTTTTTTGCAGGTAAACAAATATGCATTTATTATTTTTGTCTACAGGAGCCTAAAAAGCATTGCACCAGCGATCAGTAGATCGCTGATGCCATGCAGGTCTTCTGCAGACCTGTCAGACTATCTGCTTGCTGTACAGGATGCACAAGCAAGCATATATTCTGACAGGAAGCTTCAGTGAACTACTATGGCATTCCACAGCACCGTGGTAGTTCATTGAAAACTACAAGCCCACAGCCGCTAAGGCTGTTGGGACTTGCAGTTCATTCATGAAAGTCCGTGAATGAATGATGCGGTTGTGTGGGCAGAGCCCTGCACGGCCTCACTGTTTTCAAATTTGACAGATAGCACATGGAGACGTCTCCCGGCACATGGAGACGTCTCCCGGCACATGGAGACGTCTCCCGGCACATGGAGACGTCTCCCGGCACATGGAGACGTCTCCCGGCACATGGAGACGTCTCCCGGCACATGGAGACGTCTCCCGGCACATGGAGACGTCTCCCGGCACATGGAGACGTCTCCCGGCACATGGAGACGTCTCCCGGCACATGGAGACGTCTCCCGGCACATGGAGACGTCTCCCGGCACATGGAGACGTCTCCCGGCACATGGAGACGTCTCCCGGCACATGGAGACGTCTCCCGGCTCTATCCTTCAGAGGGAAGGGAGGCTGCGGCTATGGGAACAGGTGAGATCTTACTGGCAAGATGTGGTAAGTACAACCTCCCTGAACAGTGACATGCACATACTATATGGTGTGTGAACAGTAAAGGAGTTTTCCACTGCCTGGAGAAGAAAGAGACCCTCTCCAGGAGCTCAGCCAAGCTACAGGATTCACGGGTCAAAGGAGGTATGAGGCTACTGTAAAATTACTGTAGGGCTGAGTTGCTCTGCCTTTTGCAACCTGATGCAGCTTTGGGTTGAAAAATTACTTAAATCAATTTGATTTTCTTAATACACAACAGAAACCGCTCTTTGTCTTAACTCATATCAACCCAGTAAATGACTTGGTTTCTAAGAATTCATTTTGAAAGGGTTCAGTGAATTTAGTGGGAAATGTGCTGGTGTCATCAGATGTGAGCCCAGAACAGGAATCTGTAGGACTTGTTAATCACTTTCTGCTTGTTGTCTGACCTTTTATTTTCAAAATAAACCCTTTGTCCCTGGTGCACCTGGACATTAACTGTAACTCTATCCTGATGCAGCCATTGAAGAAGGTAAAATGTGATTATTTGTTCCTTGTCTAATCCATACCAGAATATTCCATGCTATGAGCTACACTAAACAATTGAGCTCTTTGTATTGGCTATGCCTTTTTGAATATTTATATTTTACTCTTCTTTTCCAGTGAAGGCCACAATGCCAATATGGGTGGTGCTGTTGTCTCGAATAATAATGAAGGAAAAACAGACCACAAAGGTGAGTGTTGAGTAACCAATCATATTCAGTCTTGGCTCCTATTGGGTGGCCTCCATGATGCTTCTTCTCTTCAGTAAATGATCAAGCTTTCATATACAGTAAGAGAAATGTGAAACTCCAGATGACAAAGCATAGTAGGCATTCAGAACAGTTTGATGTACCATATGTTAACATAGGGTTACCAATATTCGACAATTTCACAAAAACTGGCTAGGGTGAGAGGGTCAAGGGAGAGAGAAAAGGTAAAGGAGGGAGTGATAATCGCACACATGGGGCAACTTGCAAGTGAAATCTCCATGATGTTTCTGAAAAGTATTCTTCATGTCCATCTAGGTGTACTTATCTTTGATTCCAATTATTGGAGGAGTACTGCTGGCCACTGTTACTGAAATCTCCTTTGACATGTGGGGTCTGATCAGCGCTCTTGCTGCCACTCTGTGTTTTTCTCTGCAAAACATCTTCTCCAAGAAGGTAAGTGTGTAGATGTCCATGTTTTTTTTTGGGGCTTTTTTTTCACTTCATTGACTATTCACTCTGCCTGTAAGGCTTGGTTCATGCTAATGCTGGTGTGTGCGCATTCCTGCATGTCGCGTGAAGGGCAGCCCATTCATTTCAACTCAAGAAACATGCTAAATGGCAATGCATTTCTCTGCGTGTCAGAAAAGTGCATGAAATCACTTTCAACACAGTAAGGTGAACCTTGCCCAAAGGAGAGTAGGGGAATTGGCAGATGTATTCTGTATTTTAAAATGCAGCAATTTGATTGCTGTATATTTTAACTGTATGATAAGGATTTAAGATTTTATTTTAAGTCAAATAGTAAAATTATACAAAACCTTGTTTAAAGTGGTTGAAAAGGCAGAGCATTTTTTTTATTCTAATGCAGGGGTGCTCAACCTTTTGAAGAGCGAGGGCTACTTAAGTAATTTGGTAACTGGTCACGGGCCACAATGAACTATGATGTTTTACTGCCCCCCAAACCACAAGTGTAAATGAGCCCTTACTGTCTTGGGCACCCCACAAGGCTGCTTTCACACTGATGTGCTGCACTTTACCCACCCCGTGGGTACATTGCACCTGAAGCTTTCCTGCAGGTTAGCTGCACTGAGCCATAGACTTCTATTATATCTAGCGGTTGTGGTGTGCTTTCAGAAAGCACACCAAACTTGCAGGATATAATAGAAGTCTATGGTTCACTGCAGCTAACCCCGCAGGAAAGCTGCAGGTGCACTGCGCTGCACCTGCAGATCAGTGTGAAAGCAGCCTAAATACCCTTTTTTATAAGTGCTAATATGCAAAAGCTCAATATATATGTTTAATACACTGACCTTTTCCTCTTTCATCTTCTGCTGGCATCGCTCTCCAGGCTTCTAGAAAGAAAGAGGTCCCAGGAAAAGTTCACTTGGTATCACTCCACCTGGGACAAGAGCCAGTGCTACAGAGGAAGCATCAGCTTATGCAGCTTCTGCTCCCTCTGTGGCTGGCTGCTTCCTCCGCTGCTGGTGCCCACTCCATGCACTCTGATGCTCTGTATTGGTGAGCAAGAAAGCCGTTGATCGTGATCTGGGCTTGCTGACCCACCATTTCAGAGCAAGGGCTTGTGCTTCCCTAGTTTGAGGTCGTGGGCCACACCAGAGGGCTCCGCAGGCCACAGGTTGAGCACCCCTGCCTTAATGCATTATCTGCATTAAGGTGAAAAAACTTTTTATCAGCCCCCTCTAAATACTTACCTGAGTCCAATCGTGATCCAGTGCTGTACCTGAGCTCTGTCTTGCTCTCTCCTCACTGGCCAAGGAGGCAGCAGCAAGAGATGCACTGTGCGTGACAGTAGATGCACACAGTTCAGCTCAGGATCAAGCCTGTTCGAGTGCCCCTATAGCAAGCTGCTTGCTATGTGGGCAATCAGAAGGGAAGAGGAGCTAGGAGCACACAGCGTAGGACCCCAGAAGAGGAGGTTTGGGGCTCTCTGTGTGCAAAACCGTTGCACAGAGCAGCTAAGTATAATGTGTTTATTAAAAAAAAAATTAACCTTTATAATCACTTTAATATGGATATTTAAAGGCAAAAAAATAAATTGTTATAGAATAGAAAATTTTAATTCACAAGTACTATATGTACTGTTTGCAGAGATATTAATGATTAACAGCATGGAATCCTAAAGAAGGGTGTGTCAGCTTATAATACAGGTGACTGGAGACTTATCGTTATTACACACCAGACATTAATACACTTGTCTGGCAGTTGCTACAAAAGAAGTCCAGTTCTATTAGTCAAAAAAACTGCATGGAGTTGGAATTTAGTTTAGAGAGATCTCAATAAGTGTTTTTTTAAAGGATAAGTTTACCTTTTCTGACACATTGTGCCCATATTCAGGGTGTAACATGTTAGCGCTGCAGCTGCCCCCGCTGTGACAGCAGACCGGGGATCTTCTCATGTCTTGTCACAATTCAAAAAAGAGCCCCACATGGCTGCTTCATTCATTCACAGAATTTTGTGAATGGAAAACTAAAAGTCCCGACAGATTTTGCGGCTCTTGGCTTGTAGTGCTCAGTGAACTACGACGAGCGCTGTGGTAGTTCATTCTCTCTTCCTGTCTGTGTGTATCTGCCTGTTCGTAAGAGGTAAGAGTAGATCGATTTACAGACCTGTCTGCAGGAGTCCAGCATGGTACTCGTGATCTGCGGATTGTGGGTGCAATGCTTTCTAGGCTCCTAGTGTAAAAAAAAATGCACATTTTTTGCAAAGGTGAATTTATCCTTGAAATGTAATTATTTCATGCCTTTTGTGCTTTATATGTTCTCCTGTTGCATAATCCATCTTAATTATGCAACATTCGATTTACCGTCAAATTGTTAAACTGGCATAAGTAAAAGAGTTTTTTTTTTTTTTTTTTTTTTTTTAAACTCAATAGGTGCTTCGTGATTCCCGGATACATCATCTAAGATTACTGAACCTTCTAGGATGTCATGCTGTATTTTTCATGATACCTACATGGGTTTTACTGGACCTTTCATCCTTCTTAGTGGAGAGTGATCTGGTAAATTGACAGTTTCCTATTTTGCTTTATTGATGTAAACATTTTACTTATTTATTGCTGCTAAGTCAGGGATCACACCTGTGTATTGTGCTAAGCTAGACCATTTACTTAGGGCTTTCAGTGCATCCCAGCATAGCCAAAACAGCACCAAACCTTTTTTTTTTTTTTTTTCCCCTAATTCAATGCTTCGTTCACTCCAGCACAGATACATTGGCTTACTGTGTTGGACTGCCATTTAGAAAGAGTGGCACCATAATTCTTTAAAACATGCTGTAATCCCAATCCAACGCTTTTATGCCTCTTGGGACAATCTAATTGCAGTAATGTTTCTTGTGTAGGTGGGTAGTGGCCTTGAGTAATTTTTTTTTTTTTTCTCCAAATCTCCCAGAAACTTAAATATAAACCTTATTTGGTTAATTCCATAAAGTGTAGATGCAAATCCTTTTGTGTATTTAAAGTTTATGCTGTGAGAATGAAGGAAAAGCAATCCTTCCCTGGTTTGTTTTATATATTGCAAGAATTTTAGCAAACATTGTTGTCCTAATTGCTGCCATTTGTATATAATTCTAATCCCTTCCTACCTCCTGTAACAAATTCTTGCTCTGGAGTACTGCGTAGGATGGGTTTTCCTGCTGTGGAGACATGGTTAGTCCCAGTTTTTTAACAAGAGATTAACTGATGGGTAATACCAAGGAGCCAATCATTTGAGCAGCAAATGTTTTTCTAGGTGCATACAGAGCCCTCTCTACAAGGAAGCCAAGTGTTGTTTTTTTTTTTTTTTTTTTTTTTTTTTACACTTGGGCTTACCATGTGGCGTTGCTTACCTTGTCCTTCGCTCCCGCGATGTGTCCCCGGCCATCTCCTCTGGCCGATGCCGGCATCCGGCTTCCGTGTTCCGGTCCCTGTAACGTCGGGACGTACGGGGGCCGGAACCGGCTGCAATTTGAAAATGTCATTTTTTTAAAAACGATTATTACATAGCAAAACATTGCTGTTTCAAAGCATTTCACATTCATTTTGTCCCTACTGCTTTGTCCTGTGCCTTGCCTGCATTTTGACTGTACAGCACAGCAAAGTAATGCAAAGCAGCATGACTCCATAGTAAAATACAAACCGCATATAATGTAAAACCGCACACAACCCTTTAATCACCCCAAATGTTAACCCCTTCCTGCCCAATGTCAGTTTTTTTTATTAGCACTGATCACTGTATTATTGTCATTGGGATGTCAGTGGCAGTCAGTTTCCACCCAGTGTCAGACCGCCTGCCGCAGTCCCGCTGTAAGACGCTGGTCGCCGCCATTACTAGTATAAAAAAATAACAATTCCAGTGTGTTTATATACCGCCATTTTGTAGACTCTATAACTTTCACGTAAACCAATTAATTTACATGTATTGGATTTTTTTTTAGCAGATATAGCAGAATACATTTTGGCCTAAATTTATGAAGAAATTTTGATCAAATGGCACTGAAAGCTCTATTTGTGGGGACGTAAATGTCATTTATGTACAGCATTGCATGACTGCGCAATTGTCAACTAAAGTAACACAGCACCGTATCACAAAAAATGGCCTGGTCAGGAAGGGGGGGTAAATCCTCTGGAGGGCAAGTGGTTAAATCAGTTAAAACCAAAGTGGAGTTACCGTTTAAACAGAATTGCAGAATATTTACATGATGCATTACAGTGCTACTTTGTGATTAATGGTATTTTGCCTAAAGGTCACATCACATAAGTATCTAGTTGTCACAAAATCACATTTTAAAACTGTTCTTCCTAAAAATAAAAACATTAAAAGGCAGCAGCTGCACATTTTTTAATTAAAAGGACACTTAACTGTCCAGGGATGCAGCACTGTCCTCACCTGAGATTCGCTCTTCAGCCACCTTCTGTTCCAGGCACTGGCATGTTTACTTTGGGAAGCCAGCTGTGGCTGCTTGCTGCTCTGTAAAAACTTGACTAATGCTGCACTGTGAATGGCCCCACAGCTTTATGGGACTTGTGGCATGTCCCTGAAGGCTGCAGGGGTAGGCGGGAGCCTGAACGTCCGCTCGTACCACCAAGGCCTTTCGATGGAGCCCGCTGCACAAACCCCACCCCCCCTCCCCCCCAAACAAAATAATGCCAACACTTTGGGGGGGGGGAGGCACAGACAAGTGGAACCTTCCCTTTAAACCCCTGTTTTTGGAGAATAATCAAGGCTGCTACTTCTCCCCATCAACTGAAAATACCTACCGCTTGGCTACCTCCTGCTTTTAGTATTTTTAATTGTGAAAAGAGGCAGAAAAAACTGGTTCTTAACATGTTGTAGCTTAGTAGCTCAAAAGATTGAATCCAAAGCATCATCTGGATAGCCAGGCAGCTAGCATATTCAGAGAGGTGAGTGATAATATCCTTCATATCTCTCTGACAGGTGTACTTTAAAATTCACCTGTGTAGCCTTTCAAGGTTTAAACCTAGCAGTTTAGCCTGTGACTCATAAACAGTAAAAGATGAACTGCATCCAATAATTTCAGCTCATTAACCAATGTCCTTAGTTACACCCAAACAGAAAATAGGTTGATGCTACAAGCAATAAGTGAGACTGAAAATTCTTTAAATGGCTTCTGTAATGGAATGGTTATCCTATGACTTGTTTGGGGATATTTGTGGAAGGGAGTGGACAAGTGCTGCAATACATATATTAATAATTCACTCATGAATTTTATGTTCGACAAAGACTGTTCCAATGCTGTGCCCGAAGAAGTCTGACAAAAACACTATTTTACTGCTTTAAGGAAATCTTTCCTGTGAGAATTATGGAGGCTATCATTACTGATCTTTCTAGCTAGCTCAGACATAGACGATTATTACTTTTCCCTGAGTTCCTGGATCTGCATACTTGTTCCAGGTTAGGGACTCAGACAGTATTAAAGCTATAGAGTCAGCATAAGAGCATGGTAACTAGCCTTTTCAGAATTCATACACCATTCTTTTAACAAAACAGATATTTCCATTATTAGGTGTTAACAAGATGATTCAATCACATGCTTCTTGTCTCTGATCTGTGTGTTTTTTGTTCCCAGAACACCAGTTACCTGCTTTATCTGTTACCAAGGGGCTAATGTTTCTGGATTTTTAATTTATCATTGCTGAGAATTAAAGTGTTACTAAACTCATGACTCTTCATTCACTGTATCTGGTCTCCCACAGTACACAGAACATGGCAATGCAATTATTTCAGTAAATATAAACTGCTGAATACCTTTTCTCATCAGCAGTTAGAGCAGTCTTGTGACTTCTATTAGAGTCCAGCTGAGCACTGGTTTAAAGCTTGTAGGAGGAGTTTTCATTCTGCTCTGACTGAGGCTTCATACCCACTGACCTTCTGTCTGGACAGTGCTAATTGGCCTTGTGCTTGACCGCATTTTTTTCTTCCAAAGAAGAAAAAAAAAAGTCTAGCTATACACACTAAACTGAGCAAGCACATAGTGCTTCCTAGAGCTCTGTACTATTAGCAGATGGATTGGAGGCAGTAAAAGAAATGGGAGGATTAGAGAGAATGGGATCAAACAGACTTTTTACACAATGCGGAGGATTAACCTCTTAGATTCCACAGTGAGTATAACAAGCATGCTTTGCTGCATATACAGACTGATTTGTACAGTTGTGGGTTTAGCAAAAACTTTGAGATGGATAGATCTTTCCAGTGGATTTCTCAAGAATTAAATGGTTCCAGTGGTAGATTCCATTTCCCACCATCTACCAAAACTGAAATCTTAGTTTCTTAGTGATAATATTTAAATGTTTTTAAATAACTTTTTCTTCTATTTGTTTTGGGTTAATGTCTTGCACTTCATTCTTCTGCTTGTCATCCTCTACAGAGCTCCATATCTCAGTGGTCATGGACACTTCTACTCCTGGTGATCAGCGGGACTTGTAACTTTGCCCAGAACCTGATTGCCTTCAGCATCCTTAATCTTATAAGCCCTCTAAGTTATTCTGTAGCCAATGCAACAAAAAGGATCATGGTTATTACAGTCTCTCTTCTAATGCTTCGCAATCCTGTGACTGGCACTAATGTTTTGGGCATGATGACTGCAATTCTTGGAGTATTTCTATATAACAAGGTGAGTGGTCCCCTATAAACCTTTATTTTGTTGGTTAAATGGAATCTGTAGGCACTAGATGTTTTATCTATAGATGAATCTACCTAATGGGGTTCTAACGTTTTTAAATTTTCTAACGTTTATCCAAAAGTTTAAAAAAGTTTTGCTTTACATACGCTTTTAAGGTAAACATTCCTGACATTTTTTACAAAGCTGAAGGACATTTTCACTGGAGTTTCCCTTTCCCTGTACCTGCTCACATGCTGTTGCATGACCACTGTTCATTGTTTTTCAGGCCAAATATGATGCTAACCAAGAGGCAAAGAAGCAGTTGCTTCCTCTTTCCTCCGGAGAGCTTCAAGGCTTGGATCACCACCGTGAACATCCAGAGAAGCTACAGAATGGCATGGCTTCTTTCACTCCTGGAAGAGACTATCAGTATAGTCGGACAAATATACTGACTGATCATTTTCAGTATAGTCGACAGAACCACCCGAATGCACACAATCGATATGATGTTTGAAGCATCTTCTCATTGCTACCTATTCAGCGTTTCCCCTATTTCACTTCACATCACTCTTCATCAAGAAAAGGCCAAACGTTTCATACTTGTACTGATTATTGATTACAGTATGATTTCTTGCTTGTCCATCGGAAGCGGTGGAGATGCAATATAGGCTTACCTTTTAGGGCATGATCAAGGCTTTGTCTTTTTTGTTCAGCCCGTAATTCTTCTGTATCGAGGCTATAAGATAAGTGGGGCGGTGCTGGATTTAGACTTAATTGCACCATCTTCGGCTCCTTTTTGGTTGTGCATTTCTGCTCTCCCCACATACTCAGAAGTATTGGAACCCTTAGGCTGCTGCATGCAAATGAGTCTTCAGCCTTTCTAAGAAGAGCATTATCTTCTTTGTCTACTCCTGGCAACCGCACACTGCAATATGCACATGACATGTAAGAAACGGGCTAATTTTTGGACTATAAAGATGTACATTTGGATTGAAAAGTGGTTGTGATATTCCCTAAATTTTATTCATATGAATCTGGTTATTATGGAACTCATCCAGTGTAACAAATCATCGTTTCTGGGCAGGTATCTGAAAACCGTTTTGCAATCAGTCTGTTGCCAACTAAATTTTCCAGTACACTGTAGAAATTGTCAGGTTTTATCATTTTGTGTAATACTTCCATATGTTGCAAATGTAGACTGGCACAGGTTTTGCCGTTTTAAGACTGTAGAAAAGGTCCATAGGAGGTTGTGTAATGAAGGCAGTGCAGTTACAGTATGCGACCAATCCTATTTTGGCTTTGGTCTACATTAGGTTTGTTCTTCCTTGTAGTAAGTTGGCTTTGTGGCATTGGGGAACAGTTATAATCACATATATAAACCATGTAGATAACCCCTGTGCTTGGAGCATGTGCACCACTTTTTTAAAGCTACTTTGAAGGTAAAAATGTTCTAACAGTACTGTGTAGCAACTCGTATAGATACTCCTTTTGCCTTTTGTATAGATACTCTGCAGCATGCTCACTGTAAAAAAAGAAAAGACCCATCTGTATAATTTGATACCTGTTTTTTGAAAAGGTCACCCAGGCAAAGAAACTTCTAAAATGGAGTATATATACACTCTGAGGGAGCATTATGCAGCTGTATTCACATGGTTATGGTAAAGGTAAGGCGGGTATTAGCATTTTTTTTTAACACTGCATGACATTTTTAAACCCCCTCAGGGATGTTAAGGGTAATTTTTAATCTTTTATTTGTTGCCCCTAACACCAAATGAGGAAACATATTCAAGTGAAGTTTAGAAAATGGAACCAAGCCCTTTTTTTTTTTTTTTTTTTTTTTTTTTTTTTTTTTTTTTATATGCAAAGCCCTTTTTAATGGTTACCTGTGTTACTCTTGTCCATGTCCAATTATATGTTTAGATATTAAGTAGGTTTTTTTTTAAAAAGAAACCTTTAGAAGGGATGACATCAATTCGGAAATGAGCTGCACAATGAGATGAGGGTGGTAAGAGCATGGTGGTAAAAGCAACTGTAATACTGTAGCTATAGTTTATGCTGAAAAACTGGCTTTATTCATCATTGAGGGAAACAGGAATTCAGAAATGTTTGGGTTTTACTACCGCATACAAAAGATTGGGATGCTGGCAAAGAGAATTTAGTTAGTACTTGTGCAACTCTTCTACCCAGGGTGCCTCGTTTTTTTTTTTTTGCTAGTGTCCTAGGGGGCTGGATGCCTTTTTTTTCTTTTAATTTTTCCGAATTGTTTTTTCCTAAATTTATTGGATTTTTTTCCTGAGTTTTCAATCAAGGTCAATACACAGCTGCTTGAGTTGATCTCTATTTATCCGCTATCCAGATCAGCATGTTCTCAGCACTAACTTTGGAAGCCATACCTGCAATTTGCTGGACTGGACATGTGGGGCTAGCCAGGAATGCAACCTTTGAGCTCTGAACTATGCATTGTGGCACTTTCCATACATTTGCGTACTGCTTTAGTTACCCATGGAGAGCTTTCTGGGTCCAGAGCTGTGGTACAGCCCCAGGTGTGACCCTGAATTTGAACACTCAGGCTGGCTGGGCTGAAGCACTGGGAGCTACCACACTGTTTGCAACTCTGGGTGCCTTTTTTTTTTAGAATTCTGACTGCTGCTTTTATTGCAGTAAGGGCTAAGGCTTGAGGGATTGATCACTGATGTCATCTGCTAAGTGGAAAGTGGTATTTTGGCTAAATTGCAGGAAAGACAGCACAAAGCACAGAGGAAGTAGCATCTGGCTGATGCTTCTCTTTCTGAAGCATCACATGGAACTCTATCATATAGTGAAACCAGTGCAGCGCTACAAACCATAAAACCAACCTAAATCCAAATGTGTTAAAGAGAAATTTTTATACATTGTAATAAAAAGTCCAAACCCTTTTCTTTTGTGGTGTTCCCTTCCTCCTGTGATCAAAGTGCTTCAAACACAAAAGTGCATAATTCCACCACCAGATGTCTGCTCACCTACAGCAGTGTGACATCACATATGTTTGGTCTAACTGCACTTTTGATGCCACAATGGACACCGAAGATCAACTTGATGGATTTCAGCTGTAAACACCTCATTCAGAGTACACCTTTTACCACTAATTAACCTCATAAATAAAAAAAAAAACAAAAAACTTCACAGTGCGTAAAACTTAAAACATTTTATTGCCAAAAAACTATCCAAATGCGCACTCACATGTATGAGGTGCCTGACCACACAAAGTATGAAAAGCCTCTGTTATTGCTCAGCAATCTGGAGAAGCTGTGCCGTGAGGAGTCAGCTAGAATAAAATTGCAGCAGTATGCCCTCCAATGTAGTCATCTTTTCATATACGAATAAACATAAACCGCAAATGCCGTATTGCTCACCGGCTAAGATGACAGTATGTTCTCCGGTCTAGATGGATATCGGTATGCTTTGCGTACTCTGGCAAAATGCATGGGTAGCCGATGAGCTGGCCAGGGAACATCTGGTTCATGTTCCCTTTAAGGTACATCATCTCATCAAACCTGCTCTTGGCACTAGCATTATTAGTAATGCCACAAATGGGCAGAGTGTATTGCAGAGCCTAATTCCCACTTGGGTTGTAGGGTCCAAAGCCAGAGGACTGCTAACCCCTCTGATACTTACGAATGAACGAACACGAAGCTTCTACAATCTGGGGGTCTGTGTGTACTTTTGAACAGGTCCTTGCATAGTCTGTTTCACTGTCATTTGGGTGCTGAGGACACCACTTTTAGCCCAATGGCTTAACCATCTGTGTGTGTGTGGCATCTCTTTGAGTAGCCTTTCATCTCCTTCTATGTGTTCCTGCACTCGGCAGTGTTTTCCTAGGTCTGCCTGAGTTCCCCACATCTTGGCAGTCCCTGCTTCTGTGCAGGTTGGAACATGGCCTATAAAGTTGTATCCCATCCAGAATTTCAATGCCTTATTCAGGAGTTTTGCACTCTCATGAGCTACTGCATCCGTCTCAGTTGTCGGTATCTCTCAAGCTTCCCTCCTCTAAAAGGTAGGGGGACCCCTTAACTAGCAAGTCAGCCGAGATCAGATCTTACTTGTTTTCTTCACTAGCAAGCACATGACCCCTCAGTGCTCTTTGGAAACCATTAAAAAGCACTGCTATTTCTTTTGCCATTGGTCCTTACATGAAACTAGTGCCCATCCATAGTACCCTCATTGTGGGGCACTTAGATGACCCGCCATAGAAAAAAACCCCAAAAAGGGTCAGCTTCTGAATGCTTGTAGTTAGAAGTCTGAGCCCCACACCTGTGAGCTGCAGGTGTGTGGTGATGTTAACACTTGTTTACAGGTGAGGCTGTTTAGCCTCGCAAAGGAAATGTACGTCCTGTGGATCAGGGCGCTCTCCCCTCCTGTCATGGATATTTCCATTCCTTCCACTTTAGGGACTGGTAGAGGATTAAGACAACATCCTCTTGTTCTGATCTTCCCCTCTTTCAGCTCTCCAACGCTTTCTGGGAGCCTAGACTTGAGGAGAGACATTGTGATCCTTCCCCTTTTGACCAAGAAGTCCCTGGTTTTGACTTATCCTGTGTCTTAGTTTCTTTGCAGCAGTTTCTCCTTACCGCAGAGAGTCTCCATTATTTTATTTTATTTTATTTTTTTTTTTACTGGAGTATACCCATCTCTGTTTCCTGGAGAGATCCTCTTGCAAGTCGATCTCATGACCTGGACTTCAATGAACATTTCTTTTGATGTTGTATGAACTTCACCTTTGGGAAAGTTTTTTTGCAGCCCTCTATTAAGATGAGTGTCCTGGTCCCTACACTGGACGACATGGAGAGTACTGCTCAATTACACGGTCTCCCTTGGAGATGTTGCAATGCTACCTGCTTCTTATCAATCAGTATTATCTTCTCCAGAAAGAGGATTGCATACCTGGGTGCACCTGATCTCCTGCATTTCTGAAGGACCCTGTGTTCCCTGGATTGACAGGCAGAACATGTTTAGACCCTGCTGCATGTACTCACTAATGGTGATAGGGTCCATCCAGAGGCCTCCATGGGACCTGATCTGGAGTTAGAGCTTTATTTTTGTCAGATCTGCAGTCTCCTGAGAAAGTTGCTCCTGACCCCTTCCTCAGTTTTGACTTCTCAGGTGTGCATTCTTGGCTTTTTGCCTGAGATTTTACAGTTTGTTTCATGGCTGTGGTTACTTCCCTGGACTGGTCAGATGACACTTAGCTCGGGTTCACACTGATGTGGAATGCGCAGTGTTTTCTGTGCAAATTCCACACTGCATCAGAATCGCACCCCGTTCATGCGAACTGCTGCGGGTGTGTATATTAACACCCCCGAAATTGGTCCGCAAAACGCGGTGCGATGTGCAGAATTGCATCACATGGGTGTGAATACCCATGCGATCCGATTCTAGTGCAGACTAAAAAAAAAAAGTGTCCTGCACCTTTTTGGGTGCGGATGCGGTGTAATTTGAGCACCGCACACAATTCGCATGAGATTTTCACAGGAATGC